TTAATTAAGCCATATTGGGCTCTTTGGGAAGTTGCCTGACACCCACAACCCTGAAACCCACAACAACCCTGAACTCAAAAAAAACAGGCGCCAGCAGCCCCTCGTGACATCTCGCACGCCCCCTTATACGGGGGTTTACGAACAAACGGGGGACCCCAAACACAGATCCCTAAATAGCAATGTTCCCTTATAATAAGGACCCCAATAAGGTACCCCTAATTTCGGGAAGCCCCTCATGCCGGTCGGGCTCCAGGAACAGATGTCGCAAGCCAGGGGCAATACGCCCCACACCCTAAGCCCAAAGCCATAAACCCTAAACCCTAAACCACTAAACCCGATAGCCCGCAAAGCCCCCTGGCTCAACTCAGAACCCGAACAAGCTGCGGAAGCCCTGAGCCACTCCAACTAAGAAGATCTTGGGTTTAGGGTTTAAGCCTTGGGGGCCTCTAGGGTTTTGGGTTTCGGGTGAGGGTTTAGGGTTTAGGGTTTAGGGTTCAGGGTTTAGGGTTTAGGGTTTTAGGGGTTTGGCGTTTGGGGTTTAAAAGTTTTAGGGGTTTGTTTAGGGTTTAGATGAAGTAGGGTTCATATTTCTTGTACCCCCAAAAGGCACCCAATATATATATATATATATACACACACCACAATTGAGAAGGAATCTTATATACACCCACCAATAACAGTAATGTAAACCCTGGATTCGGTTCCCGTAATTAGCTAGGTTCCTTCGCAACGAGCGTTCTCTAGCCAGGTTGCTTAGTGTTCCGAGTTCTGCGCGCTACAAAGTTTTGGCTGCAACGTTAGGGCTTTGGAGGGAACTGAAGGTTTGGGCCCTTCTTTTGGGATGACTCGTGAAGTCGGCAAGGGTGTGTGGAGGCTTCGCGCCTGAAGACAACTCCCTGGCGGCCGTGATTACCAATCCCAACCTAATTCGCAGTAGGCGCGGCCTTGCTGACTACTACTTGAGGGTTTAGGGTTTAGGGTTCAGGGTTTAGGGTTGAGGGCCGGTCTTTTATCTCTAGGAAACTTGCGAAGGAGGTCTTTGGAGCGTGGGAATGGCTGGTGGTTTGGTTTACCTTAAACCCTGACCCTAGACCCTAGACACTAGACCCTAGACCCTAGACCCTAAACCCTAAACCCTAAACCCCAAAAACCCCAAAAACCCCAAAAACCCCAAAAACCCCAAAAACCCCAAAAACCCCAAAAACCCCAAAAACCCCAAAAACCCCAAAAACCCCAAAAAACCCCAAAACCCCAAAAACCCCCAAAACCCTAAACCTGAAAACCTAAGCCCTCAACCCTAGAAATCCTACCCAAAGCTGAGGGTGTTGGGGGTTGGAGGCTCTCTCCTCAGGGCAATCAGGCCCGTATCGCGGGTTTTCAAGAAGGGGGGGTTTAGGGTTTAGGGTTTAGGGTTTAGGGTTTAGGGTTTAGGGTTTAGGGTTTAGGGTTTAGGGTTTAGGGTTTAGGGTTTAGGGCTATTCACAGCAAGCCTGCTTGTTGTGCTTGGAGGGTCGGAGGACTTAGTGATAAGTAGGACAACTCCAATTAGGGGTCCCGTCTAGGGTCCCTAAACCCTAAACCCTAAACCCTAAACCCTAAACCCTAAACCCTAAACCCTAAACCCTAAACCCACAAGTCTACCTACTGTCTACTTCCTAAGTCTCCCGACCCTCCAAGTGTTTTTACAGGGGGAGCATCCTAAGTTTAGAGTCTCGGGTTCTACTCCCTCGTACTCTATGAGGGCCGAAGTTTCGAGGGTTTAGGGTTCAGGGTTCAGGGTTTAGGGTTTAGGCCTGACCCCGTAGACCTCAAGCCTTATAGCCCTGAACCCGATAACGCTGTGTGCGATGAACCTTCGCGCTTCTCAGTTCACCGCGTCCATTTAGGGTTTAGAGTTTAGGGTTTAGAGTTTAGGGTTTAGGGTTTAGGGTTTAATGCTCTGCCGATTTTGGGGTTCCCTTCTGGGTTTCGGGGCGTTGGGGTGTTGACTCTGTAGGCTGTTCAGGTTTAGGACTTACGGTTTGGCGTTTAGGGTTTAGGGCTCAGGGTTCTGTTCGGTACGCTTTGGTGTTCTTGCTGGCAGGGCTGGTGCGCGCCCTGACGTGAACTTTTTTGTCTTAGGGTTTAGGGTTTAGGGTTTAGGGTTTAGGGTTTAGGGTTTAGGGTTTAGGGTTTAGGGTTTAGGGTTTAGGGCTCCATGCCATGTATGCAGCCAGCCGGAGCGTTGCACAGCGTTGCCCTTCGAGTGCGACGCTGTCCTTGGCTATAGCTCACGTGGGCTCGGGGAAGAGTTAGAGAACAGGGGCTGTAAAGTGGGTTGTGAAAGTTAGAGAAACCCTAAACCCCAAACCCTAAACCCTAAACCCTAGACCCTAAACCCTAAACCCCAAACCCCAAACCCTAAACCCTAAACCCTAAAGCCCTAAACCCTAAACCCGCCATGGGCTCCCTTGGCTTCTGGAAGGAGGCGGGGTCCTTGGCAGGGTTCGGGGTCCTGAGCATGGCGGACTACGCCTCCGACTTCTACGTGATGCTCCAGTACCTTGGGACCCTAAAATTGCTGGTCGTTTAGGGTTTAGGGTTTAGGGTTGGGGTTTGGGGTTTAGGGTTGAGGGTTTAGGGTTGGGGTTTGGGGTTTAGGGTTTAGGGTTTAGGGTTGGGGTTTGGGGTTTGGGGTTAGGGTTTAGTGTTTTAGGGTTTAGGGGTTAGGGGTGTATACCCCCATGCTACCATAACTCCTCTTAAGGTACATGGACCCATAGACCCTTTTGTGGTGCATCCCCAAGGTACGCCTGTGTGGTGGAGAACTCCCTGACTCCGGACTGCTCCCTCGCCATCCCAGGGAATCAGACAAGTAGGGAGCCCCTGGCTGCCGAGTGCATCCCACAGTGGTCCCTGGGTAGCTGAGGGAGTACACTTTACTACACTTTTTGGGATACCATGATCTCTACAAAACCAACAGTGTACACTTTTTTTTGGGGCTTATGAGCTCAGCAACTAAGGTCCTGGTTCGGGATCTCGTGCGCCCTCGTCGTCCTCTCCACGCTCGTGCCGTCCTTTTGGTGGATGGCATTTCAGACCCAGAGGGAAGGGCAGAGTGTACCCAGGATGTGTGCCTTTTGCTGCCTGGGGATCTTCCAGCTCACCCATCTCTGGGAGCTCGCCACCTTCGCACGGCGCGGCACGCGGGAGGAGCACGAGAAAGATGCGAGCTCGGGCCGCACTCTCTTCGCCGCGGTGGTGGAATCGGTACCGCAGCTCTACCTGCAGGCCTACGTCCTCTTCGCGCTGGGTGCCCGCGGCCAAGCCTTCAAGCTGGCCTCTGTCTCTTGGTAGCCCAGTGTTTCCCTTTGTTTTTAATTTTTTTAATGGGTTCCCTTTTGAAATAGCCAACCCAAAAAAGGGTGCCCTTGTCATAATATTTGGTTTTGTAAAGTTAAAAAAACCCAAAAGGGTTTTTCAACGTTAAAATAACCAACCCCAAAAAACGGGTGCCCTTATAATAACATGGTTGCTGGGCTTCCAAGGTCTGCCTTTCTGTCACGACGCTCACCGCATCGGTGGTGATGCTCGGCACGACGGGACGCAACGATCGCCTCAGCACCTGGAAGGCCCATGTACTCACAACCATATGAGGGTACTTAAGGGGCTTGCAAGTGGGTTATAACTACACCCTAAACCCTAAACCCTAAACCCTAAACCCTAAACCCTAAACCCTAAACCCTAAACCCTAAACCCTAAACCCTAAACCCTGAACCCTGAACCCTAAACCCCAAACCTCCAAGTAAGCGGAAGGCCCAGGCCGCGGCCGCGCTCTTCATCGGTACCGATGCCGCAGTGCGGAGCATGGGCTTGTCGATGGCCTTCTCGGAGCCCGTGCGCCCCTACGGCGCCCCCGTGGCCGCCGCGACATTCGTCGCGTGCGTTCTCTACCAGGTGGGTAGTTCTCTAAATGGGGTCCCTCTTTGGGTACCCATTGTAAGGCGGCACCCTTTAAAAAGGACCCCCAAAAAGGTACACTAATTTAGAGAACTGCCCAGGCGTGGAGCATTCCTAGAGGGGCCGGGGGTGTTTGTAACAATCTGGCCTCGCTGCCCTACGTGGTCCCCGCTGCGGCCGTGATAGCTGATGAGGAGGAGGCTCGCCGCAAGCATGGCATGCCGGTGGTGCTTGGCCTACGCTTCCTGGAGACTATATCCCCCTTTGGGAGTTTTTGTTTTTTTAATTTTAATTTTTGTTTATACACAACCCAAGAGGATATTAAGCATATCATTTTTGCTTATATAAAGCCCAAGAGGAATTTAAAGATATTGTTTTTATGAAGGTTCTAAGGGGAGTATAGGAGACGGTGGCCTTCGGCATCCTCGCGGCCGCCTTCGGCGAAGCGGCCTGCGGCGGGGGCTTGGAAACGGAGCTCGCCGTCTACTTCGGCATGCTCGTGGCCAACGCCTTGTCTTTGATCACCTTCAAGTGCTTCTCAGATGCTTGCTTGCTCTTGAGCCCCCAAATGAAGGTTTATAACTCTTTGGCTCCCTTAATAATGAAGTTAGAGGAGCCCTAAACTTATGAAGTGATAAAGTTGTGGTAAAGTCCCACCTAGGATGGTTCTGGGGCATTTACCACTTCCATGGAAAATGCTGTCACCCTGGGCCAAGCGACGGAGGAGGGACTGGACGAATGAGTGGGATGGACTGGCATATTGCCTTCGACAGAAAGAAACCTTGGTCCTCCCTTCGCCACTCGGTTAGTTTTCACAGTGGAACTCCATCTCGGATGCCCAGGTAGTGCCCTCATTCCCTTTTTGGGGGCTCTAGGTTCCCCCATAAACCCCTTTAAACAAAAAAGGGCAGCCTTTTTAATCCTAGGTTACTGGGCAACCTAGCCATGTGGAGTCCTAATGTAAAACAGCCACCATGTGCAAGAGCGCACGCCCCAAACCCACCCCACGCCCCGAGCCCCCCCCCCCCCCCCCCCCATACAACCCTGAAATCCCAAATCCAAAACCCCTAAAACCCTAAACCCCAATAATTACCTTAGAGCCCTAAAAAACCCTAAAAAACCCTAGAAAACCCTAGAAAACCCTAGAAAACCCTAAAAAACCCTTAAAAAGCCTAAAAAACACTAAAAAACACACTCAAAAACCCTTAAAAACCCTAAAAAACCCTTAAAAACTCTAATAAAACCCAAATAAAACCCTAATAAAACCCCAAAACCCTAAAGCCCTAAAACCCTAAAACCCTAAAACCCCAAAACCCCAAAACCCTAAAACCCTAAAACCCTAAAACCCTAAAACCCTAAAACCCTAAAACCCTAAAACCCGAAAACCCTAAAACTTAAACCCAAATCCGAAAGGCTAAAGCCCTAAAACCCTAACCCTCAACCACCCCTAAACTCAGATCTTCCAAAACCCCTTAGGAATAAACCCTAATTCATAGTTATGATCCTTAGTATAAATTAGCGTATACTCCTAAATTCAGGGGTTTCGGAAGATCTCACCCTAACACCCGAAAAACCTAAAACCCTAAACCCTAACACCCTAAACCCTAAAACCCTAAAACCCTAAAACCCTAAAACCCTAAAACCCTAAAACCCTAAAACCCTAAACCCTAAACCCCTAAACCCTAAACCCTAAACCCTAAACCCTAAACTCCTGAGTCTACGCAGGCAGCGCCTGCGTCTCCCCGCCTTCGTTCCCCGGGGCCGCGGCAGTGCCGAGCGCCGACGTATTCAAGCTGCCAGGGGCCCAGGGGGTTTGGGGTTTAGGGCTAGGGTTTAGGGTTTAGGGTTTAGGGTTTGTAGGGTGTAGGGTGTCGGGTTTAGGGTTTAGGGGTATGGGGGTCCAGAGATTTAGGGGTTTAGGGTTTAGGGGTTTAGGGGTTGAGGGTTTAGGGCTTCGGGTTTAGGGGTTTTGGGGTTTAGGGGTCTATAGGGGTCTAGGGGTTCAGGCGGTCCAGGGATTTAGGGGTTCAGGGGTTAGGGGTTAGGGGTTTCGGGTTTAGGGGTCTGCGGGGGTTAGGGGTTTAGTGGCTTAGGGTTTAGGGGTCTGGGTGCTTCCTAGTTTAGGGGTCTAGAGCTTAGGGGTTTACGAGTTTAGGGGTTTAGGGGGTGGTTTCAGGGTGGAGGTTTACAGGTTTTCGAGGTCCTGGCTGGTCCTGGGCGTACAGTGTTTGGCCTTCAGGCTGTTGAGGCCGCACCATGCTTCAGTCAACAGTCCCCGCTGCTTGCCAGGGGTGTAGGGTTTAGGGTTCCGTTTCTGGAGGGGGAAGGGGTTGATGGCTGAGGGTTTGCGTCTGTTTGGATTCTAGCAAGCCTCGAATCCTTAAGCCCACTCGTTAGACCCTAAACCACCAAGGCTAGTGCTAAGGTAACACAAGCCGACGCTCGAAGGTGTTTCCGGCAAAGTCTGAAACCCTAGAAGAACCCCAAAACCCTACAGTAAACCTCAAAACCCTAAGTCCGCCAACCCTAGGCCTGCAAAACCCTGAAACCTCAACCCCCAAACCCCTAAACTCCTCAACCCCAAGCCCTATGACGACTTCAAGCTTTGACTGGTTCTCTTCCAAGGTTCTGACGGAGCCCGAGCGGCGGCGTGTCTTTGTGCCGCCAGCGCCCCAGTCTGTACCACAAACCCCCAAACTTCAGGGTTTAGGGTTTCGGGTTTAGGGTTTAGGGTTTAGGGAGGAGCAGACCCTACACCTTGAACCCTGAACCCTACACCCTGAACCCCAAGCCTGAATTATCGGGTTCAGGGTTGACTTGATGCTTTGGAGGTTTCGGGGTTGAGGTGTTTTTGCTAAGGGGCTTTGGAATCGGAGTTATATACAGTAGGGGTTGAGGCAGCTAAAGGTTAGTTTAGTTTAGGGCTTCGGGTTTCAGAGTTAGGATGGGGTTTGGGGTTTCTAGGGTTGAGGTCCGGAGTTTAGGGTCTACTGAAACCTTCCCCCCCAACCCTGAACCCCTAAGCTTTAACCCCAAACCCCAAACCCCAAACCCCAAACCCCAACCCCCAAACCCCAAACCCCAAACCCCAAACCCTAAACCCCAAACCCCAAACCCCAAACCCTAAACACTTCTTAGGCCTGACGGCTTCCGTATAGAGTTTGCAGTGCAAGGTGTCCGGTGTCGGAGCAAAGGAACCTGAATTGCATTCCCTGCCCCACAGCCTAAACCCTAAACCCTAAACCCTAAACCCTAAACCCTAAACCCTAAACCCTAAACCCTAAACCCTAAACCCTAAACCCTAAACCCTAAACCCTAAACCCTAAACCCTAAACACTAACCCCTAAACCCTAAACCCTAAACCCTAAACCCTAAACCCTAAACCCTAAACCCTAAACCCTAAACCCTAAACCCTAAACCCTAAACCCTAAACCCTAAACCCTAAACCCTAAACCCTAAACCCTAAACACTAACGAGGCGCCAAGTATTGCACAGAGGTTTCTGCCACGAACCCCTAAACCCCCAACCCCTGAGTACACCCCAGGCCCCCAACCCCCAAACACGAAGCCACCAAACCTTAAACTCCCAAGAAACCCTAAACCCTAAACCCTAAGCCCTAAGCCCTAAACCCCAAGCTCTTAACCCTTAACCCAAAACCCTAAACCCTACACCCTAAACCACCGCCATCTAGCTTTGCAAAGGGTGGAGGTGGAAGTCCAGGAAGCCGCTGGTTGCCTGGAGCTGTTGGTGGAGGCCGAGGGTTTAGGGTTTAGGGTTTGAGGGTTTCGGGTTGAGGGTTTGGGGTTGGGGGTTTGCGATGTAGGGTTTAGGGTTCAGGGTGTTTGGGGTTTGGGGTTTAGGGTTTAGGGTTTTTGGGTTTGGGGGTTTGAGATGTAGGGTTTTTGGGTTTGGGGGTTTAGGGTTTAGGGTTTGGGGTTATGGTTTTGGGGTTTGGGGTTTAGGGTGTGGGGTGTCGGGGTCTGTGGTTTTGGGTTTAGGGTGTAGGGGTTTGGGGTTTAGGGTTTAGGGTTTGGGCTTTAGGGTTTTTTGCTTTACGGTTTGGGGTTTAGGGTTTAAGGTTTGAGGTGTTTAGGGTTTAGGGGTTCAGGGTTCAGGGTTTAGGGGTGGAGAGGTTCGGGGTTTGGGGTTTGGGGTTTGGGGTTTAGGGTTTGGGCTTTAGGGTTTGGTGTGTTAGGGTTTCGGCTTTGCGGTTTGTTTAGGGTTTAGGCTCTGGGGTTTGTGGGTTTATGGGTTTGGGGTTTAGGGCCCAGGGCTTTGGGGTTTAGGGGTTTGTTGTTTGGGGGTTTAGGGTTTGGGGATGTTTGGGGTTAAAGGTTTAGGGTTTAGCCTCTAATTACGTGCCGGGGTGGAGGGCCACTGTCCACTTTCGTTTATTCTGCTTTTGCATGCATGTATGCGGTTGTGCTGGTTAAGGGCGGTTTCTTGTGCGCTTGAGTAGGGTTAGAGGTTCAGAGATTCGGCCTGGGGGGGGGGGGGGTTGACGGGGTATTCCCGTTGTTCCCAAACTTTGCCAACCCCCAACCCCCCTCCCGCACCCCGCCCCCCCCCGGAACCTCTACTCTACTCCAGAACCCTAAACCCTAAACCCTAAACCCTAAACCCTAAACCCTAAACCCTAAACCCTAAACCCCATACTCCAGAACCCTAGAACCCTAAACCCTAAACTCCTCAACTCTCAACCCGCGAAAGTCCAGGGTGAACATGTCGAACCCCGACTCTTTGAGAGGAGGGGGCCCTAAACCCTAAACCCTAAACCCTAAACCCTAAACCCTAAACCCTAAACCCTAAACCCTAAACCCTAAACCCTAAACCCTAAACCCTAAACCCTAAACAAACCCTAAACCCTAAACCCTAAACCCTAAACCCTAAACCCTAAACCCTAAACCCTAAACCCTAAACCCTAAACCCTGTTGCCGAAGCTAGGGGTACCTTATTGGGGTCCTGATTATAAGGGAATCGTACTCGGAGGTTCATGGTACTTGTTAGCTAATGTATAACTGTACGTACAACCCACATATAAGCCCCGTAGGTGCCCTAATATGGCTATAAGTACAGTCATAAGTACAGTGATAGTTGGTTAATAAGTACCATGAACCTCCAAGCACTAGATAGGGGAATCCTACTACCTAAACCCTAAACCCTAAACCCTAAACCCTAAACCCTAAACCCTAAACCCTAAACCCTAAACCCTAAACCCTTATTGGGGTCCTGATTATCAGGGAATCCTAGTATTTTTGGGGGGTCCCTTCTTTCCGTCAACTCCCAGGTGCCGCCGAAAGGCATCTGTTCGGTCCTGGTGCCCAAAGTCTCGCTTCTTGCAGGCCCGGCAAACCCTAAACCCCAAACCCTAAACCCCAAAGCCCAAAGCCCAAACCCTAAACCCTAAACCCTAAGCCCTAAACCCTAAACCCTAAACCCTAACCCCAAAGCCGAAACCCTAAACCCTAAACCCTAAGCACTAAACCCACCGACCTCCAAAGGGGCTGGAGCTTCCGGGCTATATGCTACCCAAGGGAAGAGGGTGGTTTCATGGTCCCTTAGTATTTTCTCCTCACCTTCTTAAATGTTCTGCAGTTTGGGCCCTTGGGTTTTTCTAGGGTATATAAGGGGTAGTTCTGCTTTGTGGATGACTTCCGGGCAGTTTTAGGGATCATGTGTCGGGTCCAGACTTATAGAAGCCTTACCGCGGCGATA